GGCAGAGCCAACCTCTTTCTCGCGTTTTGGGTCCTCCCCGTCATGGCCCTCTAAGGCCTAATGGACTACAACGGGCTTACATACGCGATCGTTCATAGTCCAACACGCAAAGTTCTGTAACGGGCTTACGTACGCGATCGTTCCCAGAACTATCCTATACTCTAACAATCTCAAACAATATTTTTTAATCTTTAACTTCATTTAACTACCAATCAATTTTCACACATCAAACAATCTTTACTAACAATCAGCAAGTATCAAACATTCCTAGACTTAACACATATAACCAACAACATCACATTCCATCCCTAGACTAACATGTAAGAACATCTAGTGTTAACTAGTATTAAAGTAATCTAGACAACACCCTCACCTTAMCCTTTATGGATAGATTGACATGGAAGAATGAACATGGAAGAATGAACTACTGCGAATCTGCGATTAGGAACCCATGTTTAACATTCCATTATTAAACTTCCTAAAATGTTTATTCAGTTTGGTCAAATTATACCAGTCAGAAGAAAACAGCTATAACTTCTTACTCGTACTTCAGATCAAGACAAACTTGATGCCTCTAGAAAGCCATGACTCGGAGCTTTCCAATGATATCCATATCGTCTTCTGGGTCCTTTCAGAACGACAGGAAATCAGCTCACAAATTCTCTACTCGGATATGAAAATAAGAATTCCAGTTTCAGAAACAGTGATGTTTCTCAATATTGAAATACGAATTACGAGCAGATCATACCTCGTAATTTAGAACCGAAAGTTTCTACAAAAACTAGAATCCGTGATCTTTCTAACAACGCTCATATCAACATCTAGTTCTTCTAGATTTGGCGGGAAAACGTATACAAAGTCGGCTGGTCGCATACTCACTCTGTATAGATCAGTCAAAGTAAAACATCCATAACATTCATTCCATAACACCGAATGACAAAATTCTTTCAAATATTACAAGATAAGAGAGTTAAGAATCTGCTTACCAAATATAAGCTTCATCCGATCATTGACGGAACTGCAGCGTAAATTCTCCTCTGACTGGTCGGAAACTCTCACAGCAAATAACAATTATGAGAAAATATCCATAACTTTCATATCACAACTTCAAATGACAAACCGCTTTCTGCCTTGGGTAAATAAGAGAGTCAGAAAAGTCCTTACCAATATTCATATCGATCCGAATTGATTTGATCCTTGGTTTCTATTCCTCACCGAAACTGGTCAAATCTGCGGTTGTTCGAGAAAAGACATATCGCGACAGTTGGAAAGAACAGGCCATAACTTTCACCACAAAACTTGGATCGAGACGCTATTAGATTTTCTGGAAAGCTGAGACTCGGACCTTTCCACAGATATGTTTATCATCGCACAGTTCGTGACGGTTCGTCGGAAAATCGTCTCTCAACCTGGCGGTGAAGTTCAGTTCCAAGGGCAGCTAGGGTTTACAAGGTGAAAAGTAAAACGGTCAGGATTTCGCCGCAGCTGCACTCTTGGTCTTTCTCACATCCTCTCCCTTTATATAGTGGATGATTAGGGTTTTCGATGGGTTAATTGGGCTTGATGGGCTCGTTTAGCGTTGAAGAGGAAACGTTATATAAGTCTAATCCATTTAAATCGTTTTTAAATAAAAATTTCTTCTATTTCATTTTTCATGTTCGATCCAAAAACATTTTCGCGTAAAA